TAGTACCAAAATTACTAAATTCTGATTATAAGATTACAAGCTATTACTATTTAATCAATTTTTACAAAAGTTTGTTAATCTCAAGTACTAGCAATTAGAATTTAACAATTTTGGCACCATCTGCTTTGTCTTGATAAGATAGTTCAAATAATATTCAAATGTTAAATTTTGATCACTAGATCTTGAGATACTTAAAAAAATGTTTTCTAGCACAGTTCTGTATAGAAATTTAACTAAAACAATTTGATTTTCTATACAAAATTGTATTGCAAATTGTTTTTTTATAAATATCTCAAGATCTAGTGATCAGAATTTAATAATTAGGGTGTGGTGACTTAGTGAAGTGGTTAAGTTGTCACATCCCAAGCGGTATGTTAGATAGGTAAGGGGTTCAAAACCTACTAATGATGAATTTCAAAAAATCTACTTGTATAATGCTATTATCTTCTGTTGATCAATTAGAACAAGATTTCTGTAACTTTGGTAGCACCAACAAGATTGGAAGATCATAGGGTATTTGTACAATATATAAGTTATACAAAAAGTTTTCAGATCATAGTAAATCCAAGAAACCAAAAAGATTGGATGCATACTTGGCAAGACCTGAGTAGAGGTAGCACAGATCTTTGATGGTATTATATAAAGAATTATAGTTAAAAAAGCAGATTAACTGAATGGGACTGAAGTGTTTGGCAAGGCATTCTACCAATCAGGTCACTAGAAGAGTAATCGGAAGAAAAGGATCTAATTGTGGGGACTAGAAGCAAATCATAGCCCTTTTGGGCCATCTAAATTAATAGTTTAAAAAAATTCAAGAAGTATAGTATAGTCTGTAAAGTAGAACCGGAGTCTGGATGAACTCTACAAGGGCAGAAGTAGATAATAGTAAAGGCTTCGGCTTACAGGTACTTGTCCTCAGACTCAGCATAAGTTACTGAAGTTTAGGTTAGCCAGATTGTAGGTACAGAAGCTCTAGCAAGTTTATCTCGAGGACAAAAAGCTTCTAATAGTGGTAGCTTGTCTTAAAGTTCTAAGCTAGGTGTCTGAAAATAAGGGGTCCAAACTAGATTTTTACTTAGTTAAAATAGGTTAACTCTATAGACACAGAAGGTTTATAGATAACCTCCTAGTCAGATTGCAGGTATGACATCTAGTGTAGAACTTAGTAATAAGCGGATTACTTAAATAGGCAATCAAAAGTTATATGTGTAGCTAGTATATATGTATCTTTCAAATATATATATGGTACAGATTATTTCAAAAGAGCGGCTTATCGTATAGTAAGGTTAACTAATAATTAAATAAAAGGAGATGACCAAGAGGTTACTTTAATATTAAAAAAAAAAAAATTTTAATAATTTAGATATTATTCGAACTATCTTATCAAGACAAATTAAATAGTAACAAATTGTTAAATTCTAATTGATAGTTTTTGTGATTATTAAATTTTTGTAAAAATTAGTTAAACTATAATAGTTCATGATTTAATAACTATTTTGGTAATATTCAATTTATTTTGATAAGATAATTTGAATAATATCAAAATTGTTAAATTCTGGTTACTAGATTATGAGATATTGTAAATATAATTTTTACTAAAAATTTTTTAATTTACAAATTTGTGCAGATCTTATCAAATTTATTTTTTCAAATTAGTAATAAATTTTTACTATGAAATAAGTTATTTTTTATATATACTATAATATTATACTAAGATTATAAGTCTAAGATTAATATTTATTGTTTATTAACAATTAGTAAATAAGTTTTTTAATAATTAACAAATTTTTTAAATTTATCTATATTAAACTAATAAGTAATAAAAAGGTTTTTTATATAATATAAAATTAAAAGGATTTCTATTTGTACCTGGTAGGTATATACCCAGTATATAAGAAAAAATTAAAAAATCATCAATATCTTAAAATTTTATTAAGAAAACTATATGTAGGTAACTTAAGTAAAATTGTTTAGCACCCAATTTTGTATATGAATACACCTTTAATATCTTTAATTCTAACCCTAATCCTAATCTTATTAACTTTAAGAGTTGTATTTTTTTTCTTATATTCAGGTATATACTCGCTGGGTAAAATTAGTTATTTTCTAAAATTAAATAATATTATTATATAATTTTTGTTTTTAAATATTATTTAAAAAAATTTATTTTAATAATTTAAATTTTTAAAAAAATAGATTAAAAGTAAATTTATACTAAAAATTGCAAGCAAATTTGCTTGCAATTGCTTATTATTTGTCATGAATTATCGTAAAATCAGATTATCGTAAAATCTATATGATCTGTATCTGTATATCATTTCACATAGCACAAGGGCTAGCATTCTAAAAATTCTGAATCAGATATCATATCGTGCAACTTGATCATCAAAAAAAACAAAACATTTCTTTAATGCCTAGCCAAGTAAAAGCAATGCTATCTACCCACCTAAGAAAAAGCAATATCTATCTATCCAAGAAAAAGCAATGCCCACCTATCCAAGAAAAAGCAATGCTCACTCACTCAAGAAAAAGCAATACCAGCTTACCCATCTAAAAAAAAGTAGTACTCACCCACCCACCCAAGAAAAAGTAGTACCTACCCAAGAAAAAGTAGTACCCACCCAAGAAAAAGTAGTGCCTACCTATCTATTTAGGCAAGTAAACTCCTACTATTTACTTGCACAAAAAAAAACCTTTAAGTTTTTTTTTTTTTTTTTAAACATGGTACCAATTCTCAAAATTCCTGAAACAGCTAAGAAGTATCAGATGATAGTCAAATATCTTTGATCAGGAACTTTTTAGATAGTATACTAACAAGCCCATCACCCCAACTGCA